ATAGTAACTGAGACGAAAGTTTGCAAAGTCCTCATCACAGTACCTGGCACATTTTCACTGCCCAGTGATTGGCACTGGCTATTACTATTGTTCCTGGACATGCCTGGGCATTTCCGTGTCTGTGTCCATGCCAGTTTATGTATATGGGAGTGCGGGGCATGGATTCGTGTGCCTGCCTGTGTCTGTGAGGAGGGGGGTGGGGATTCGTTCTGGGTGTGGGCATGATTTCAGGCATGAATCTTTCCTTCTCCATCCACCACAACCTCCTCCTCCTTCTCCTCCACCAGACCACATGGGTTTTTTTTTTTTTTTTTTTTTTTTAGCAGTTACTAAACTGCTACATTTACTGACTCGTTCAGTCTTTTATCATATCCAATAACACAGTGCGTTTTGGAAATCACATCGCCTCGGTTCTTTCATGGCTTCTGCAAATCAAATTTATTTTACCATTGAAAATGTCAAAAAGATTCAGCCAAAGGAAACCTGGAGCTTTCTGGGGTGCAAGACCCTGCAGCTGGCTCTCAGGCTGCAGTGAAGGAGGCTAAAGTGCCTCTTTTCCATGTGGATTCAATTTGTGTGAATTTCCTTAAAGCTGGGAGAGAGTCGGAGCTCCTCCTGGGAAATAGAGCCTTCAGACCTCTCGGGAGCAGCCTCAAGGGGGAGGAGAGAATTAGTAGGGGCTGGAGGGTCAACGTGGTATCAACAGTTCACCCTGCCCCGAGCTGCTGGGAGCAGGGTAAGAGGAGACTTGGAGTCATGGCCCTCGGGGAGAACACTGATGAGCGGGACAGAGACCCAGGCCGGCCCGGAGCTCACGGAACAGCTTTCCAGGTCAGATCTGCACACACTGAGCAATGATTCGAAAACAGTGTCCACCGGGTGGACTTTTAGACCTGACTGCTCTGGGGTTGAGTCCTAGCTCTGCCGCTCACCAGCTGGGCAACCTTGGTTAGGTGGCTTTACTTCTCTGCGAGTTTCATGTAAAATGGAGATCAGGGAATCTCAGTGTAAGGCCCCCACTTCCAGGTTTTCCATATTCTTTGCTGAGTCTGAATTGGAATCTAGACCCAGCCAGGGGATTTGGCTATCTTTTTTGTTGTTTATTATTGACACATAATAATTGTACTTGTCTGTGGACTACAGTATGATGTTTCTTTTCTTTTCCTTTTTTTTTTTTTTTTTTTTTTTTTGAGGTGGAGTCTCGCACTGTTGCCCAGGCTGGAGTGCAATGGCACGATCTTGGCTCACTGCAACCTCCGCTTCCTGGGTTCAAGTGATTCTCCTGCCTCAGCCTCCTGAGTAGCTGGGATTACAGGCACACATCACCATGCCCGGGTGATTTTTTTGTATTTTTAGTAGCGACGGGGTTTCACTATGTTGGTCAGACTGGTCTTGAACTCCTGACCTTGTGATCCACCCGCCTTGGCCTCCCAAAGTGCTGGGATTACACAGCACCCAGCCCAATGTTTCAATGTATACATTGTATAGTGACCAAAGCATGGTAGTTAAAAAAAATATGGAATGCTTTACAAACTTTTGTATTATTCTTGAGCAGGACCATGCTAATCTTCTCAGTATTTCAATGTTAGTGTACGTGCTGCTGAAGGAAGTGCTTTATGAAAGTGTCTTTATAAAAAAGATCATAGGTGTGCAAGGCCACGTGTCTCAGGTGTCAGGGGTGTTGATTTTCCTGATTTCAGAGAAGAGAGATATCTGTTATATGGAGGCTAAAGCTCGAAATACCTTTATTGAGCACCTATTGTGTGCCGGGGACTGTCCTGTCCCTGGGGATGTAAACCATAGATGAACTGAGCCCCTGACTTCCAGGAATTACCCCTGAATGGAACATGAGTGTGGTGAAACTTCTAGAACTCCAGGATCTGTGTTAGAAAGCGGGATAGAGCATGAGGCAGAAATACCTGGGAATCCAGGAAGGGATCCTCCAGGAGGGCTTTCTGACCTGGGTCCTGGTGAATGAAAGACAGGTGCCTCCAGTGGTAAGCAATGGAGGCAGGGGTGTAATTGGGACGTAAGGTGGTAGGTTGGGAACAGGAGAGATGGGGCTGAGATGTCAATCAGAGCTGGCTCACAATGGTCCTGGTGTCAAACGAAGATGCGGGCTTTATCCTTGAAGAGTGCTTGTGTTTTGAGCAGGGTGTGTCTGGAGTCCCCAGGACAACCTCCTTGTGCAATGATTGGGACTCAGCATGTAGTCACACTGATGGCTATGATTCATCAGAGTAGAAGGATACAGAGTAAGGCCAGCAAAGGGAAAAGGCTCCTGGGTGAAGTCTGGGGAAGACCAGGCACAAGCTTCCAAGGGTCCTCTCTCAGTGAAGTCACATAGGTTGTGCTCAGTTGCCTCAGCCACAGGTTGAGACAACGGTGTGAAATATTGTCTCTCAGAGGAGCTCATTAGAGACTCAGTGCCCAGAGATTTTATTTGGAGGACGGTCACACAGACACCCTTGATCTAATGCTCACTAAACTTCCAGACTCCCAAAAGGAAAGCAGGTGTTTAGCTTAAACCACATTGTTCCCACAAACATTTTAGGCGGAGTAAGCTGCTCACGTCTGTTAGGATGGAAGCCCTTCTGTCATCTACATTCCCAGATACCAGCCAAGTGCTAGCTCGCAACAGGGCTTTTTAAGAATGGCAGTGCCTCATGCCTGTAATCCTAGCACTTTGGGAGGCCGAGGCCGTTGGATTGCCTGAGCTGAGGAGTTTGAGACCAGCCTGGGTAACATGGTGAAACCCTGCCTCTACTAAAAATACAAAGAGAGCCAAGTGTGGTGTTACATGCCTGTACTTGGGAGGCTGAGTCAGGAGAATCGCTTGAACCTGGGAGGCGGAGGTTACAGTGAGCTGGATTGCACCACTGCACGCCAGCCAAGGGGATAGAGTGAGACTCTGCCTCAAAAAAAACCAAACCAAACAAAAAACAAACAATAAAACAATGGCAGCACCAACTCTGTTCTGCATACAGGGGCAGGCACTAACACGGTGTGCTTGTCTGGAAACCCATGAGAACAATGGATTGGCGTTGGAGCCAGGACAAACTGGAGGCAGGGAGCCCAGTGGGAAAGCCTGGCAAGAGTCTTTTCGAAAGATGAGGCCTGATCTAGGGCAGCTGTCTTTATCAGGCTTTTGGTTGTGAGTCCTCATGTCAGAGTGTCTCAGGAAGACAAAGGATTATTTAGTACATGGACTCAGGCATGTTGCAGAACTAACTCAAAGGCAAAAATCCCACGAACCACTCAGGAGACCAGATTTGGCTTCTACATAGCTGTCAGAAAGGATGGGCTTCTCTTGGTTTTCTTTCCCTAGGACCACGAGGTTTCTCTTTCTGGTTTCCTCTGCATATCCTCCGCAGTCCCCTTTCTCTAGAGATTGACTTCCTTTGTTTTTGACACAATGGCTGCCAGACAGAAAAGCCTCATCCCTGTCGTATTTACATGCTCTCTCTTCCTGTGAGCATCTGGGACTCACACCAGTATCTCTCAACTGCAATTACAATTTCCTGTGAGAATCTGATTGGTGTGCATTGGGTTAGGCGTCCTCTTGTTCCAAATTAGCTAAGGCTAGGGACTGAGAATCGCATAGTGTTAGCATGGCTGTCCCATGAGCTGGGACAAGAGCTGAGAAAGAAAATGTTGTTATGGTCCCTGGATACCAGGCGGTGATCAATCATTTGAGTTAATCTGACGCATCTGAGTTCAGTTAGGGAGCTAAATAAAGAAACTCAAAAATTGGGAGGCTGTGAATTTGACATCATATTAGTAGGTAAATTTTAGAAAAACTTTCTTCTGCAAGGATCATAAAATCAACGGTAGTTATAACTTTGACAGTAGGTTCTGCTCTCCAATGGAACACATTCTGCTCCTTCTGTTCTGATTTCTGAGAATGAAGTGAGAAGTCAGAAATACACGAGCTGTTTCCCTCACCCTTATATATAACACTTAGTGATGGGGATTTTACTGGGGACAGTGAGGCAAAGAAGTTGGGTGGCTTTTGCAAGTTCACAGAGGATGTCCTTAGATTCACATTGAGTCTCTCATTTGTTTTTTCCACAAACATTTAGAGTCCCTAATGGAAGAGTGTTGATCTTTGGGGCAGGTGCACAGAGTGAGCAAATGTACTCTCTACTTCGGAGAGTTTAATCTCTTTAAAGACACAAGTGTGAACGTTTGAGGTGACGGATATCCCATTATCCTGCTTTGATCATTATACATTGTGTGCAGGTATCAAAACATCACATCTGCCCCCAAAATAGGTACAACAATTATGTGCAAATAAAAAATTATATGAAAAAGACACAGGTGTGTAAAGGGTACATGATTAACGACATAACAGAGGAGAATCAGGGATTTTGAGTTGCAAGCAACATAAATGAACTTTGGGTAACTTAAGCAAGAAAAGGAGGAATTTACTGGAAGTATATGGGGTGACTAATAGAATTAAAGATACGTTGCAGCACCCGGCTTTGGAAAGCTCGGGAAAGTGAGTAGTCCAAAGATCCAGTGAGCAGGAGAGAATGGACGGTCTCTTCAGCGCTCCCAGTATCAGGAGAAAAGTCACCCCAGGCATTTTCCATCTTGGATCACTTGCTGGCAATTTAAGGCCCTGCAGGACAATCTGATGGGTCTAATGTGGACCATCACCTAGCTTTTTCAGGGCCTCTTGGCTGATGGCACCACCAAGGCTATAGCCATAGGAAAGAGAATAGCTTCCTACAGAAATCTGCATCCTGTAACCAGAACAAGGCAAGGAGAGATGGGACTGGCCAAGACTCATTGTTGGCTCCAGTATCGGCGATCTTCCACACTAGTTAATTTTTTTTTTTTTTTGAGATGAAGTTTTGCTCTTATCACCCAGACTAGAGTGCAGTGGCGCAATCTTGGCTCACTGCAACTCCCACCTCCTGGGTTCAAGTGATTCTCCTACCTCAGTCTCCCACATAGCTGGGATTACAGATGCCTGACACCACGCCTGGCTAATTTTTGTATTTTTTTTTTATGGGAAACTGCTCTTTATTTAGACCTTCGGGACAAAATTAACTTTGGTCACATATTACTTTTAAAAAATCCAATTTTACATATTTCTAAATAGATAGGACTAAATGATCATGGAAATAATTTCTTCTGTAAAAATTGGCCAAATTTTATCAAAAATCTAACACAATGTAATTCAAACTATATAAAGACTAGTTGGGAGCATAATATTCCAAATGTATGACAGTTGTGACTCCATCCTAACAGGTGTGAAAAGTACTTGCTCTCATGTTGCTTTGGTCCAGAAGAGTAGAGCTGACTTAGTAACAGGAAGCTAAGTACCTAATCTGTTGCCAAAATTAATTTCGATTGTGACTGGCAGCAGAAATATCCATGATGAATAGCTCTACTATAACAAACATAAAAGAATACTTTTCCTGAACATATCACAGTATCAAATACATTTTTTATAAGAGAAAAATATGAAGGAAATGATGAAATAGCTATCACAAAAAAAAGAAGGGGTCTCCCCCATAAGGTGATGAAATTAGAGGGTTGATGATGATAATATCAAAGGAAGTTGAGTACTGTATTTATTTCTTATTTTATACAACTCTTACTCTTTACAAAAATGGTTATAGTCATGCCCATAAAAGTGTAACCCATGGCATTTGAAAGCAAACACTCTTTGTAATTATTTAAAAGGGCCTTTAAAAAATTATAATACAAAGGTCTGTGCTCTATAAGCAGTCCTCCACTGTGCATTATAACAATAAGGCTTACTTTTAATACAAAGACTAAGTGTTTGGGAGTTATGAACCACTGGATTTAACAAACATCATTTTATAATTGCTTTTTGCATCTTTTTTGTTTTGGGGATCCTCCACTTCATCAGGGTGCTCAGCAGCTTGGAGTTCTTCAGCAGATTCAGTTCTTCAGCAGTTCTTCAGCAGATTCATTCAGATTCAGATTTCTCTGACTCTGAATCGCTTTCAGAGTCATCTGGACTTTCAGGATCAGGTGAATCATCATCGTCGTCATCATCATCTCCAGCCACATCACCTTCTCCATCATGATCTTCTACCTCACTGAAGCCAAGTCCACAATGTCGCCGATATCTTCCTGAATAATTTACTGTCCATACTTTGCTGATATTGAGACTCCAGTTCTTCATTTATTTTCTTGTCTTCTTCCCCTGCTCGGAAGTGAGATGTTGATTTGTGATCTCCTATAACAAGACTACCAGTATGTTCTTTCTTTCCTGCACCGATAAGTCTCAAGAACTTTTGTTTTCTCTCTTCATTACCCAAGTCTGCTGCCTCCCAGTTGCTAGATCCCAGATCATCACCTGGGGAGGCTGAACGCTTCACCCCGTGCGGGTGAGACTCTCTGGCAGCACTCATGCTTGCGGGGATCCCGACGAGAAACGTGGAACCCTCTCGCCGCTCTCCTCAGCCTCAACACCAGCAGCATGCAATCCGCCACCGGCCCAAGCAGTGCCACTCCAGAACACAGAGCCCCTCCAGTAATTTTTGTATTTTTAGTAGAGATAGGGTTTCACTATGTTGGCCAGGCTGATCTCAAACTCCTGACCTCAGGTGATCCACCCACCTCAGCCTCC